GACTGCCCCAAGCGTGCAGGAAAATCTCCGTGCCCCCCACGTGCCCCCAATGTGCGGACTTAGATATCCACACGCAGGGGGCGCTTTCGCTATTAGTATATAGATTAGATTGAACGGTAGATAGGTAGGAAATCAGATATATATGTATGAGGTATTTTCAATAGGTATATAAGTATAAACTCTCATCTATGTGCGTTTATCTGAAAATAATAAAAACTGTTTTTTTGGGGGAAAGGCAACATCCAAAGGCAGTCTCAGTCATTTCCCCATTCTTACCTCTATACATAACTGGTATCAGTTATCCTAGAATAATGAAAGCCAAGCAATGGAAAGGACTTACTCTGAATTTCAGGGTACTTCATCATCAGCAACAAGCCCCAACGCAAGGTAGTCGAAATGGAGTCCATGCCCGCGGCAAATAAGTCCCCCACCACAGCTATTAAGTTTTCATTATGGAAAAATGCATTGCTCTGATTCTTGTTCTTTTCCTAGAAGAAGAAAGAAAGAATTTCCCCCCTTTTCTTTGTCCAATTAAAGCTCTATGGCTCTATGCAATGTCATTTGCAATCTCTATTTATTTCTCAAAAGACAGGCTTGCTGGTCACCCATTTGCAGGGGTCCAGGTAGGAATTATTTCGTCCCTGGCTGATTGTCCCTGGTCGGGGATGTTCTTCGTCTACCTTCTACAGTTAGTCAGCGGGTTGTGGAATTGGCATTGGGTGGCGCCTTGGGTTGTTGTTGTTTTTGATCAACAAAGGTTTATTCAAGGTTTTCAACATGTAACAATACAAGACTATAACAACAATATGATGAGAAGAGCAAAAGGAATAACAGCAATCATTTGTTACCATTTTCGAAATACTTAAGGAGGTATCATTATGCTCATTAACATAACATCTGTCTTGCTGGTAACTTCAGTTCATTGATAGGTTAGTAGCTTTCGTCTATATGTTACTTTAAACAATGCTATATTCAGAAACAAAGCCAGTATTTATCATCTAGCAAAAGAGGGAACCACTTCCTTTTCTGAGAGAAACTGAATTATTGGAAGCCACTTACATACAAATGGTGTTTGATAATCCTCGTTAGTGTGATTAGCTATGCCGTCTGCTATCTCCCCCATAATAAATTGCATCCAAAGCTTATCATACCACAGGTCTAATGACGGGCCTGAGACTGATTTCCATCTAGCAGGTACAGTAATTCTAGCTGCAGCCAATAATAAAGAGATTGTTTCTTTCATTTGTTTTTGGGGGAAGAGACTCTGACCACTTTAGTTGGCGGACTGGGGGCTGGTGATTGTTATGCAGCTAAGGGAGCACCAGTTAACAGTCCCGTTGAGGGCTAGGCGTCTGGCCAGATCAGCCTTTGGGTTCAGCGACCCGGGGTTTGGAAGGCAGGCCTTGGGTCTGCAGGGACTGATCCTCCCCTTAAACTATTTGGTTTGGTGGGGGGAGATCCTTGGCATTGCCCTTTGTTTACCAGGTGGATTTGAGCCTAATGGTTGGGGCTCGATCCGGGGCATGGTGGCTCTATGGTATATGGCTAGGGCGTGGTTATATTGGACCACTGGCCTGGACGGCACTGCAAGACCCTATGCCCTTTCCATTGAGTTTGATTTAATGTTAAATAAAGTGACCCGTTAGTTTATCCAAACCTTGTGTCTGTCTCTTCATTCCGAATAAGGAGGGCAAATGCCTTATTGGTTTTTTCAGCTTCCCAAATGTATCTGGGATAACTGGAAGAACTGGGGGGAAATATCCCTGAAAAAAATCCCGGATATATTTGGAAAAACCCAGCAAAACTGGGCTGCCCAGCAGAGTCCCAGTCACGCCTGTGAGAAGAACTCTCCTCATAGGAATGGCTCCGGGGTGGACTCTGTTGGGCAGTCTGATCTAAACTGGGCTGCCCAGCAGAGCCTGCAGGGAGAACTCTCCCCACAGGATCAGCTCCTGGGCAGGCTCTATTCAGCACTTTTTAAAAGCTAGTGTCCCCTTTTTGTTGCAGAGACATAAGGGGAAAGACATCTGGGGAACTGGAGAAAGCAGAATAATGGTTGTGCTGCATATTCAATTTGTGGTTTTCCTGTGAAAATCCCAGCTAGTTAAATGGGCGGCTCCCCCTTCCCCCAAGTGGGATTCCTTGCCGACTGGCCTGGCATTCACGTGCAAAAAGTCTTTAAATCAATGGGTGAGAGAAGTTCACCTGTTTACCTCTTGCTGTTGGATTAGAAAAGCATCGATAAAGCTCCTCTGGTCGTTCACATCCAGTTCTTTGAGGTGTTCTAGGAAGGTGGCCTGTATGAAGTCACGCATTTCCTTTGAGTTCTTAAGGACAGTCTTGCGGCCACCAGAAAGAAAGCCCAGAGCAGGAAACATGTTGTACAGCTAAAAGGATCAAATATGAGAAAGGAAAAGATCAAGAAATCCCCAAATCCTACTGCTGAGGCAGAAATCTCAAAGGTGTTTTGAAAATCTCCCATGATGCTGTAGCACCCAAACCTTTCCAAGCATTGTAGTGGTTAGGGCCACCAGGCTGTGTAACCACCGGCAGAGTAGGAATGGGGACATGGGGTGGGTGGGCTGCTGGCACTGCACGCACTATGACATCACTTCCAGGCAAAACCACAAGTGACATCACCCTGTGTGCGACATCGACATCTTTTAAAATCTTTCTCCCCCTTCTCTTTCAAGCTGCCGCAAGGGTTGCCTGAGGCCCTGGCCACACTTGAAGTGGTACAGTTTTGAAAGGACTGTTCCATATAGTTTCCTAAACACTTCAAATCAGTTGCACGTTTCTCAGAACAAGTTTTGTCTCTGCTATGATGTCCTGAGTTTGTGGATGGAAGCTATAAAGTCATGGATATATACATAGTCCTGCCTGTACAGTTTGTACTGTTTTTTTAACCCGTTTAAAATCAAATTTTAAAGAGTTTACCATGACGGATGGACTTCCCAAGACCCGGATCTCTTCATTGACCAAGTTCAGTAATCTTATAAACGTGGGATCTTCGTATTCATATCGCTTGCCGAGTAATATGAACACTATAATATTGGCAGCAGCCGCATTCATGATTGTAGTCGTCTCAAATGGTTTTCCTGTAAAACAATTATTACAATGAAAACATCATGCTATGGAATTAACCTCAATATCAGTTATGTCTTGTGCATTAGCTTGCATATGGTTGGCTAGTATTTATCATCCATTCTCTGGGTACACCGTATGCTCTGCAATGTACAGAGGGGGAATTCTAGACCGGACCATGTCAAAGTACGGCTTCAGTATTTTTGGTGCCTCCCAAATGAAAAGAGAAAAAGCCACCTCACTGTTGTGTACTGCTTCCTGGCTATCCCAGTAGGCCTCAGAGCAAGCATCAGAGTAGGAGGGACTCAACTTCTTAACCTTAAATCCTGGTTCACCCTTTCCCCAAACTTACATTCTACACTAAACACTAAATGTAAAAATGCTCGGGGTATTTTTACATTCTACACTACGTTCGAATTCACCCCGTAATTATCTCGGGGGTATTTTTACAGTCTACACTACACGCGTGTTCACCCTGTAATTATCTCAGGGCATTTTTACATTCTACACTACATTCGAGGTCACCCCTGTAATTATCTCGGAGGTATTTTTACATTCTACACTACATTCGAGTTCACCCCTTTAATTATCTCAGAGCATTTTTACATTCTACACTACATTCGAGTTCACCCTGTAATTATCTCAGGGGTATTTTTACATTCTACACTACACGCGAGTTTACCCCTGTAATTATCTCGGGGGTATTTTTACATTGTACACTACACTCGAATTCACCCCTGTAATTTTCTCGGGGGTATTTTTACATTTTACATTACATTCGAATTCACCCCGTAATTATCTCGGGGGTATTCTTACATTCTACACTACACGCGAGGTCACCCCTGTAATTATCATGGGGTATTTTTTGTTTCCACATTAGATTGAGGTCAACCCGGTTTTGCCCTACACTTGTCCCGGGATAAATGGATGCTGTCATAACCAGGGATCAAGGGTCATTTCGTAGAAAAAGAGGTACAGGAGCTCATTTGTATAACACATTTACATAACTCATTCGCATATGCCACACCCCCTGACAAAGGGCAAGCATGCAAGCAAGCACGCCTGGGTTCCATATCTGATCTTCTCCAGATGGCCTGCGGCTACAGAGCACCTGGAGAAGATCGGGCAGGGAAACCAGGCATTTTTAAAATACCTTTCTTTCCCTTCCCCATCTAGGGAAGGGAAAGAAAGGCATTTAAATCCACCCCACACTTCCTCAAGTTTTTCTGCAAAAACAGAGAGGCTCATGGGGAAAAGGAGGCACGTCTGCCTGCCTGCCCTCCCCCTCCGCAGCCTACCCGATGCCTGGGCAACTCCCGGGATGCTGTTTCAGGTCGTTCCCCCTTGAAATGACCCCTGCCAGGGATAAATGCAAGGTATTGTGTCAGGAGTTGAACTCTGATAAAACCAGGGATCCAAGTGTGGAAAGGAGCAGCTGAATCATTAGGCCAATATCAATTCCTCCTGTTTATCAGTACTGATAACATTTCTGGGCAGAAAGCCCAGTACCATCCACCACTGAATTAAACAAACCAAGCTCCCGCCGATGAAGAATCTCATACATTAAATTCAGTAGCCTTTCCACAGCAAAATATATAGAGAAAGGCTGTTCAGCAAGTAGGGACTTATCGCCTTCTTAACTGCATGATGGAACATATACCATCCAGGAGGGACTCAGTGCTGATATTTTATTTATTACGGTCAACGACCATATTCAAACATAGTACAAAATAAAAACATAATATAAAAGATAACATCTTAAAAGAAAAAAAAAAACACCATTAGGATATACAAACCATCATATTTCATAGATAAAATATACCAGTCATCATATTTCAGAAATTTTAAAAATATCCTATATTATTCTAAATATATATAATCAAAACAGGGAAGGAGAATTCCTACTGAACAGGTCTATCATTTGCTGCGCACTTTGATCGCTTGGGCATAGAGAACTTAGCTGTTAGCTCAGTAAGAGCTGTAATTTCATCAATCAATACTTTCTCGAGAGAAGCCTTATCTGTCAGCACTGCTAGTCCTTCCAAAGAAGGATTGTCTTATCTCTAGTTTCTTTACAAAAAGGACAGCGGATAATAATGTGTCCCTACGTTTCCACCTTGCCGAGGGAGCAGGGACAGATCCTTCCAGTATTCAAGATCTCAGCACTTCTCTTAGCCATCTCCCTGCTAGCAGCCTGCAGGTTTAACAGAGCTGAGGCTCTGGAGTCTTGTCTTGTGCTTGCTGAATTCACTGATAAAGTAGAACTGATCACTAGGCTTGTGGTCTGTTCATCCACGAAACCCACTATTTAACACCTACAGTTACTTTGAATAAAAGGACCTTCAGTCAAACAGGACTGGGTGTTGTTTTCTCTGCTACACAGCACTCACCTTCAAAAGATTCAAACTTCTGTATTAGGAAACTGCACTCCTCGACAATTCTGTCTTCTATGGTCTTCTTGCCCATTCCGTAGTCCCTCAACGTGCTTATCGCAAACCGCCTCATAGCTTTCCAGTTCTCGCCATTAGAAAACACAATACCTGGAGAGAAACAAAAAGCAGGTATATTGATATGCAGAACAGCAATTGGCTCTTGGCTCTTGGACCATAGAAGACCCTTCAGCCTGGTTGGAGAAGCTAAAACAGTTCACCTAGTAATGGGGACTAATATCGGGAATGGGGGTGCAGGAGAGAGATAAGTTCTGAAAAGTACTGAGATCGGAGGCTCAGCATAGTGAAATCAGCAATACGTTTATTCAGTTACATCACAAGATCAAGTGTGCATTTAGCCGGCCAGAGGCCGGTTTCTTTCGTGACCGACACCACACCCATTTCCCGTGATAGGTTCTATTAACAAGTCCACAGTTCTACTGGTCTGTACTCGGATCCGGGCAAACTCATAGGTGCGCCCTAGGATCCGGAGGGACTATGGTCTATGGACTGAAGGTCGGAGGTCCGCCCGACCACATGGCTAGGCCCACGTGACCGCGGCCATCTTCAGGCAGCTAATACACAACAAGTCCCTTGTTTCGTTGCAAAACATTTTCAACAACAAGTGAATGCAGGAGAGAAATACAGGAAAGAAAGCCTTGACCTGGACAGCCCAGGCAAGCCTGATCTCATCAGATCTCAGAAGCGAAGCGAGGCCGACCCTGGCAAATATTTGGATGGGAGACCTCCAAGGAATACCAGGTCTGGGAGGCAGAGGCAGGCTATTACGCCCCTTCTCTGAACGTCCTCCGTGCCCCAGTAGGAGACACTAGAGGTCACCGTGAGTTCCAGGCACACACACACACACACACACGCAAACAAAATAATAAAAAAAAAGAAATACAGGGAAGAAATGAAACGTTTACTGTTTTCCCCTGAGAACTGAGCCAGCTCCTAGCTATATTACCAGGCCTGTTTCTAGGTCACCCTACTGGGGCTGCCAAGGTCTTCCAGAATTGCAACTACTTCTTAAATAGGTTGCAGCTTCACCCCGTCTACTCTGTTCTTGCTGGCTGTGCAGTCATCCTTTATGAAAGGCCAGGGAAAGATCTGTCCCCCTTCCCATGCCATGAACTTCAATTCGTCTACCCCTTCCTTTTCTCTCCCCCTGCAACCAGCCTCCCTATTCATTACTCAGGGATGGGAGATTGTGCTCTGTGTCGGTTTGTGTGTGTATGTGTGTGAGAAGTATTGTTCACTCACAGCCATCTTACGGCAACCTCATGGGGTTCTGAAGGCAAGAGTCATTCAGAGGCGGTTTGCCATCGCCTGCCTCTGCGTAGCAACTCTGGGCTGGTGGTCTCTCATCCAAGTACTAACCAGGACCAACCCTGCTTAGCTTCCAAAATCAGATGAGATCGGGCTAGCCTGGGCAACCGGCCTTGAACTATAAGGGCACTGCTGAAATTTTTTTAAAAAAAATCTGAAAGTTTCATCATATGGAGACCTCGGGGTTGCGGGGGTGTGCGTGTGAGTGCTTGTATCAGGCCAGTTTAAGCCAGCCCGGTTCTATAGACAGGAAATCCCCAGGTTGCATCTCTCCCAGGGTCATGTTTGGCACAGACTCTCCATGGCTGTAAGTTCTACATATGTAAGCAAGACCAGCTACTCTTCAGAAAGAATGACCTCACCATGGCCTTCATCAAAGTCTTCAAACACTGGGATCCTGGGCCTGTCCGCAAAGGCATCTGCCTGGTTCACCAAAGCCTCTTTCACAGTCTTGTAGCCCGTCAGAACGACCATTTTCTGGAATCCCATTTGGAAGCTGAAGACGGGGCCGTACTGCTTCGATAACTGAAAGGCAAGGAAAGGTAAATGAGAAACATACTTCTGATCATCCATGTTTAGGGCTGCCAAGTGGTGGCGGGGGAAGGGTAAACCCCTGCTTCGGAGGCCCGATTTCCGCCACCGCGGAATTGGCCCCCGGGGGGAACTTCGCCCCTGAAGCACAGTGTGACTGCGTCACCAGAGGTGATGCAACCACGTCGCTCACGTTGGGGGCGTGGCCCAGATCGTCGGAGGGAAAACTCTATGGCTTTCCCTCCGACGATCTGGGCCACGCCCTCAACGTGAGCGACATAGCGCGTAGATCCTGAGCAGTAGATTCTGTTCTTTTCAAACCTTGCTGGCTACAGTGGAGATCAAGTGGACGATGTGTGGGGAAGACAGAGCACATATATGGAGCGTGGCCTTCCTGATCGCAGGTCTCTAGTATTTTCTCAGTTTTTGTTACTGGGCAGAAAAGAAAACACTGGAGTGTCAGGGGCATAGCCATGACATTTTGATTGGTGGGTCATTGGGGGGTAGTGAAAGAGAGGGCGAGGACAGGGGAGAACTATACCATGCTTGCCTGAAGGGGGGGGCTCTGTTGACTCTCAGCAGCCCTGATATTGAGACTAAGGAGGCAGTGGCATAGAAACTATCCCCCCATGGCCGATCCTGTCCTGTCTCCTGCAGCTGATTGACACAGCAGAGAAACAAAGTGAAGAGCATAAAGCGAAGCGGAATGGGAAAGAACCTAGAGGAAGGCCCGTTTGCTCTGCACAGTGCTAGAAAAGGGCACACCTGTTGTTGCTTCCGAGGAAGAGTTCTTCAAAGGTTGGAGACGTGTGTCATGCATTTTCACAACAGGCCCTCTGTGCAGAGCAGGCGGTGTGCCTTCCCCCGGACTCCCCAGCCCCTGGTGCCTGGTTGGACACTTGGTGGCTGGGAGGGCCAAGGTTTCCGGCAGCGGCAGCAGCCATGGGCCTTTGCTCTCTTTTCTAGGGGCTGCCTTGAGAGAAGCAGCTGGATCTCCCCCCACATGACATCTGGCAGCGTTGCGGGACGGGAGGAAAGGACCCCTCATGGCTGGAAGCGGCCCCACCACCCAGTCAGTGGGTATTTAATGGTTGCAGAGAAGGTACAGGAAGTCGAACTATGGCTCGGGGGGGGGGGTAGAGTGGTTTTCTCCACAAGCAATGGCAGCCCTCGATCCCACCTTGTGGCCGGCAAGGCAGGCTCCTCCCTTTTCACATTGCGGCTCCCTCCTCACTGAGGAGTATAAAAAACACTGCTCTCCGGTAACCTAACTTGTGCCCTTTCTACCACCACCACCACCTTTCTTCTCCCTTCTCCCTTAGCTGGTAGGAGGTTGTTGGCATAATACACTTAACAGCTTTCCCTGCCTTCCAAATTACTCCTCAAGGTATGACTGCTGGTGTTTCAATGAAGATCTAATTTCCATCCCAGTCAGTGCAATCCTAAGAACACAGCAAGCCCCACAGGATAGACCTGAATGAGATTCCGAGTTGACTCACTGGCACATGATCTACCTCAAACATTGTTTTGATTCAACGCTTCTATGTTTTCATTATTATTGATGGGATCCTGTCCCCCAGCTCAATTTCCAATATGCTCTATTAGAACAGAAATAAAATACAAACTCCTTTTCAACTGGAATATGGATTCTCCAGGAATAGATCGGATGGTTATCTTCTAAACTCTGGGAAAAGGGGGTTTGAGGAATGTATGGTTTGGTTCAACTTGGTAGAGGTCTGTGAATTCATTCTTGGCACTGCAATGGTTTAGTTAGACAGAGTTCAGTTACAACAATAACTACTTCTGATGTACTGATATATCAAATACATTTTATTAACGCATAAGCAAATTCCGTGACATATTTGTCTTCACATTAATGCTCGCATTTGGGATGGAGAAGCTTAAGGTCTCTCTGCCCCCACAAGATCAGCACAAGGCAGGGATCTAGAACAAAAAAGAACAAGAAGGTTACCTTTAACATGGTTCCGTGAGGCCTCTTCAGATCCAGGAGGTGGAGGTTTCCAATGAGTGGTAACGGGCGTGGTCCTGGTGGGAGATTTTTGCCAGTGCTCTTCCAGAAATCGCTTCTTTTCCAAAGGAATGCAAGTGTGAGGGCAAGTAGGAACAACACAGAAATAGGATCCATCCAATCCATTTCTTGCGACCAAGAAGTGGCTTGTAGAGGTTACAGAGAAATTTGCAATGGATTTTGATCAAGGGCTGTTTCTGTCCCCTGAAATGAGCCACACAACTTGACAGGACAGGTCTAAACTCTGTTGACTCCAGAATGAAAGTTCAGCACCTTATCATCTGTAAGCCTAAGTTAGTTAATGATCTACTGGGTCCAAAGAGTAGTGCTGACAGTGATTGCCCCCCAAGCTGGAATAACGAGGCAGACACAAGTGCTGGGTTTAAATACAGGGCCACTTTATTAACTGACAACTTTAACTGGAACCAAAAGGCAAGGGCAAAACAGATTGCATTATGGTCAAGGCCAGAGGTCAAGGACCCCTCCCTTACCTTGTCAATAGGGTGAGCCACCCTGCCCCGGGTGGGAGCCCACTGCAGGAGCTACCATCCGGCCGGCTAGCCATTGCAAGACAACCCTGTAGCCCCATCCCCCAAGCTGCAAGGCTCAAAGAGAGGACCTAAACAGGGCCGTCCCGAAGGCAGTCCGTTTTCCCCGCCCTGTGCCGCAAGGCACAAAGACTGTACTCACAGGACCCCTTCAACCCCAAATAGGGGTGTCAGCTGGTGCTCACCGGACCGCAATCTGTATACCGCATAGCAACCTGCCATCGCTGAGGTCAAGCCTCTGCTTAGGCCTCCGCGCCCAACCTGGAAGCCCATGGCCCACAAAGCCCTTGCCGTGGTTATCCAGAAAGATGTGCATGCCGTTCAGGCATGTGTCACCATCCTGTTGGCAGCGCTCGGCCTGCCCAACATGATTGCTCAGATGTGGCAAAGCCACCATTCAGCCAAACTTGCAGCCGCTCTCCCACTCCAGTGGCGAGCCGCGGACCTGCAACCCCCGCAACCCAGCGGGATATAGCCATCTGATCAGCAGGATCCCCTGGCCCTGTCTTAACTGACTTCAACCGGACCAGTGGGGTATACTTTGCCCCTGATCAGGCCAACTTGCTGCCCCAAAGGCAGCCCTCACTTTAGGGAGGGCAATATGTCCCTGACAAAAACTGCAACAGGCCCAGCTCGTAGAGCCCGGCATGCCTGCCATTCTACCTTGGCCCGATGACGACTGCCCGCTGAGCATAGGGCATCTTCTCGGTGCAATGAGCGGCCCGCTAACTTGTGCCCTCATAATAGGCCTTTTTCGCCTTTTGCCATTAATGCCAACCTGTAGGAGAAAAAAGGGGGGGAGCAGGGAACAGTTCAATTTCCCACAATTTGCCTTGGGATCTGTTCAATTAATTGACCCGGGCCGCAGGTAGAACCAAATGGTAAAGCATCTTTGCACCACTGAAATGTCCCCCTGGGTACACCCATGGCCACTCCCAAGCAGCTCTACAGTGGCATGAGTGGGCCCAAAATTCCTGTCCGCCAGCTGGCTTCAAAGACGCCATAACAGGACAACTCCAACAGGTGTTAAAAGGTGCCCTTGGCCATGGCAAGCAGCTAGTCACGAAGAACCCTGCTGCTCATAGGCGGCCGGAGCTGCCACAAGGCGAACTGCTTCTCCGTCTCTGAACTCGAATTGCTGCAGCCGCAAGAAGTCTGCATGTGCCGTGTAATTGCAGCACCGACTTCCACTGCAGCCCTTCATCTTAGGCACTACGTGAAGTCAAGTATCCTACAGACATCCAGGAGTCCTATGAAGGATAGTGCATGGATCTGACCATTTAAGGCCTCCCTGCACTCCATGATTGTTCCACCCTTAATAAACCTTACTTTATTTGCTTAAATCTCCTTGTGTCTGTGCCTGGGTGAAATGATACACCACCTTGACCTCAATACAATGATACCTAAGAACATAAGAAACGCCAATGCCAGATCAGGCCAAAGGCCCCCCCATCAGTGTTCCCTCTAAGCTGAGTTAGTGTGAGCCAGCTCACTGCTTTTTAGCCTCCGGCTCACACGTTTTTGCCTTAACTCAGGAAGGATGGCTCCAGAGCAAACTGATTTATGTAGTAGCCAAATCACTTGCTCAAAACTTTAATGTCAGTAGCTCACAAAGTAGGATTTTTGCTCACAAGACTCCACAGCTTAGAGGGAACATTGCCCCCCATCCAACACTCCTTTCATACAGTGGCCAGAAACCCCAGTGCCATCAGAAGGTCCCCCCATGTCCCACAAATTCCGAACCACATAGGGTGCTAATGTTGCCGTAATTACCTCTTTCTACCTCAGCAGTGAAAGGCACAGGGCACCAAGCCCCCCGGTCACAACTTTAGCAGCAGGAGGCTTTGCCAACCTGCTGACCATTTTAATGTTAGCAGTGGTTAAACTGATACCCCCCACTGCTCTATCCCCATCGGCGGTCGGAACAGAAAAATTACCTCCCACCTGTCCCTTCATTTACGGTGGGAATGTCACCTTCCTGCGTCATCCTATGGTTAAACTGACTACCATCCAGCGCAGCCTGTTGGGAGACAACCCCAAGGGTTCCCCCCCCCCCCGCAGCCTGTCCATACCGGACTGTTACAGAGGCGCACTTGCCAGCAAAAAGGCATGCATACCCTCGTGAAAACTGGGGGACCAGAGATGATAAAAGGAAGTCCCCACACTCAAGTGTCCCACTGCAACCCCCAGTATAGGAGGGTCCGGTAGGGAACTTCCTAAATGTCAATAAACAGGGGTGATGTGCAACTCCCAGCTTTAGAAATACGGGTCAACTGCAGCAGTTAGCTCCTGACTCTGTTAATCCTGGCCAGCCCAATGAAGTAATATATTCCCTTTGCACAACTGGAAACTTACCTACAAGGCTAACCTAAGGGCTGGGCATCTAGAAGACCAGTGCTGCTTTACAGAGCTGTCTTTTAGCCCCAAGCCTAAGCAATAACCAATCCACTGAACCTAAAGGGGTTTCTGCTCACGCCCACAGCGAATTCACCGTGGACATAGGCTGCCTAGCCAGGGCTATGAAAGGCTGCAGCCAATAATGAAGGTGGAAATAAATGAAACTATTTCACCCTGAAGTAATGAAGCATCAATGTAAAGATGTACTTCGGGTTGTTCCAATGCGCACGGCCACCAAACATCCCCAGGGCTGGCAAAAGTGCATACCTTTACTACCTGGCATGTCCCAAAACCTGTTACAACCCATGGCACAATGGCCTAATCAACACCCCGTGTGAAATCACAGGGTATTTTGTTGATTACATGGGCTCAGTAAAGGGGAATATTTCCCACATGGAGGTAGAATAACCAAAATAAACTACCATCACACAGCAATGTGTTTCCTAAGGTCCAACCCAGGCAAAAGAGAAGCAAAAAACCCTAAACCAAAATATCTGTTACGGTTGAGATTGTCAAGAGGTGTTGTAAAGAACCTGATAGGAATTCAAAATATGCCAATCCGAGCGGGGACGCCATGCCAGTGGCGATGCCCCGGCATGCTTGCTCACCCACCAGACTAACCAAGCCCCATGGGCAACTTAAGCCCCCTGCAAAAGCCTATACTTGGCTATTACCAACCCCTACCGACCAACAGAGAGGAGGGGGGAGGTCAGAAAATAAATAATACTATACGGCTCTCCACACCTCCCAGTGAAGTCACTGCTCATGGAGGGTCCGCAGCAAACCTGGCCATTCTCCTTTGTGCAGAATCAGCCATGTCCAGACCAGCCTAACTCCTTTGCCGCAGCCCCTTTCTTACCGTCCCCAAAGCAGAGGAAAAAAACCTATGCCGAGGAGGGACAGCCAAGGCGTCTGACCTGCTGCTGAACAGAAGCCAGAAGGCAAGTTGTGCAGGGGCCCACTTGCTGAGCATGTCCTTACGTGCCGTCTGTACCAGTTGCAGCTGATGGCAGAAAGTGAAGAAGACCTAAAGAGCCTCTTGCTCAGGGTAAAAGAGGAGAGCACAAAAGTGGGCTTGAAGCTCAACATCAAAAAAAGTAAGATCATGGCATCCGGCCCCATCACTCCTTGGCAAATAGAAGGGGAAGTCGTGGAAGTAGTGACAGACTTCACGTTCCTGGGATCCCAGATCACCGCAGACTGTGACGCCTGCTCCTTGGGAGGAAAGCGAAGGCGAACCTAAACAGCATGAGAAAAAGTAGAGACATCACCCTGCCAACAAAAGTCCGCATGGTCAAATCAATGGTATTCCCAGTAGTCATGTATGGCTGCGAGAGTTGGACTATAAGGAAGGCCAGGCGCCGAAGAATAGATTCTTTTGAACTATGGTGCTGGAGAAGACTCTTGAGAGTCCCTTGGACTGCAAGAAGAACAAATCAGTCAATCCTAAAAGAAATCAACCCTGACTGTTCCCTGGAAGGCCAGATAATGAAAGTGAAGCTCAAATACTTTGGCCACCAAATGAGAAGGGAGCACTCACTGGAGAAGACCCTGATGCTGGGAAAGATTGAAGGTCAAAGAAGACGGAGACGGCAAAGGATGGGATGGTTAGACAGTGTCATAGATGCCACGAACATGAAATTGAGCAAACTTCAGAGGACGGCGGAAGACAGGAAGGCCTGGCGGGAGCTGGTCCATGGGGTCGTGAAGAGTCGGACTCGACTGTGCGACTAAACAACAACAATGTAACAGCTATAATGGCACCTCTCTTTGATGCTCTGAAATGACCTGTATAATGCTCCCTCCTTGACCTCCTTAGTGGTTCCTGATGACCTTTGCTGCCACCTTTAGACCTCTTGGTTTAACCCGAAGAATAGGACAGGTTAGTTACCTTGGGTAGAATGACAGGACAGTTATCGCCTGGGGGTGACTGTGAGGCAAAAGGGAATCGTTTATTCTAAATAAAATGGTTGCTTTTGCTTAAACAGAAATATAGTTTCTTAAGAAGTGTAAAAAAGCTTAATTGTTCCAGTGTAGTTCAGAAGCATAATGGTTTCATTAAATCTGCTAATTTTCTGGTTGCAAGATAGGTGCAGGACTTCTTTTTTAAAAAAATTCTCTAAATAGATCTAGCCACATAGCTACAAAGGCTTATTTTTACTCATTTTTTTTTAAAAAATT